CTTACTACCACTATTTTGTAGGTAACTATGTGGGAAACAAAAACCTTGGAGAAAAAAAACGAGCTGCAGGAAAGATATTCTGCAAAAAGTAAAAGAAAGTCTTTCTTTCAGAAATTGTAAAATCAAAAAGGTTTGCTCTACCAACTTAATCTGTGGATAAGAAAAATTGTAAGCAACGAATTTTTTTGCTATTGATCCGAAAACTGAAATAAAATGGTACCAAAAAATTAGGTCATCTTTTTTTCTCAAATAAGTTATTGTTAAGTCAGCTTCAGTTTTTATTTCTGTATCCTATAATAATTAATGCATTATAAATTTTTTTTCGATACAAGAAAAAACTCCTTGGCTTCTCCAAGAAAAAAATACCCAATATATTGTTGTATACGAAATTTTTTTATAACTCAGTTTAAATCCTTAGTTCTTAGTTTAAATTATTGTACTAACTAATTTCATGTCGATTAAATTGTAAAAAACTGGAGCAGGGTTAAGGAACTGGTAAAAAATCCTTGCAAAAATGTAAAAGCTTTAAAAATGTTTGACATTTAAATTTTAATTCTTTTTATTTTTCGTAGCTACCTGCCAAATTTAATTGATCATTCAATTATAGCATACATAAGCTAACGTATTTTATTTTAAACTCACATGTCTGCTTAATAAATATAAAAAAAAGACTTTGAGGACAAAAAAGTAAATAAATGATTAATAAAATTTTTGAAAAGAAAAAAAAAACAATATAACACTGACAAAGATTCAAGCCCAAGGATGCAAAAACGAAACAACAAACTTGCAAACGAGCCATTTGTGCTGAGAAAGATATGTGTATAATTTAGCAAAAAGTTACTTATGATAGTAATAGAGCTCCAAAGCCTGTTCTAAACATTGGGGCTATCTTAAATTATACCATGTACTTAGCAATCTTAAAATTGTATGTATTCATATTGATAATAGTTTGACTAACACGTCACAGAATTTTTTTTAGTAGTGTGCATCTTTACAAGAAAACTGTGTGAGATTGAATAACCCTATTCACAATCCACATACAGGTGTATGCAGTACACATCTTGAATTTATGAGAGGGGACTATTCCCACACCCAGAATCTCTACTCAAGGCACTATACACAAATAACTTGTACACAGTTTATACTCAACGCTACACAAAAATGAGACTTGTGGAGTTGGCGCCCGTAAATATTAAATATTATTATTTTGCAACCATTCAGGGCATAAACGATTCTTTTTTACTTGCGGATTTATCCTCCACTCAAATTTTTATTTGCGGATCGATAGTTTGCGAGATATTTGCAAAAGAAAAATGAGCTATCGGGCGCGGCGCTAGAACAAGAAATCCATTATTACAAGTACTAAATTATGTTGAAAATCAATTATGCCTACATGGTTCGATTCCTCCTACTTGCGGATTCAGGAAACGTATGAGTTTGTTGAGAAAAACGTTATAAACATCTCAAATAATGATTTAATTATTTAATGAAAACGTAAAGTAACCGGTTTCCAGTTTTCTCTGGTCCAATTCTGCTTACAATTCAATATAGTAACACGTCCCTTGACATGTTTCTATATTGTCTGATTTTGTAAAGTCGAATAAATCATGCATAAAAAAATTTACACAAAAAGAAAGAAAAACAATTTTGTGACACCAGTCTATTTAAACTTAAAAATGCTAATGCTGAGGTACTTATTTCCATGGCAGTAACATAACTGCAGCTGTGATATACACAAAATACAAGTATAAAATATGTTTTGTATAGATAAATGAGGTTATGTTATTACAAACATACTCAGATGTATTTTTTTCACACAAAAAATTGAAAGAAAATAAGTCAAGCAATGAACGAAAACAAGAGTAATAGACATCGACAATTTGGTAAGACATTATGTAAAGTGGCTTACTCTAAGCTGTGGAACATTTAAAACGTTGATTTTAAAAGTAAGTCCTGCCTTGCATATTTTTTTTCCACGGACTCAGATGTACAATGTGGGAAGTTATAAAAGTTAGTATATACTGTCAACGAGAGTATTAGACATACTTGCTATTTTTTATTGCTGTAATTCAATTTTAATACTTTTCCATTTTAGAATCACATCTGATGTTTGAGAAATGACAAGACGTTGCTTAAGAGCATGATGCAACTATTAATGTTGTAGCCATTGATATGGTTTGAGGTAATACATCTGCACTACTGTAAAGAATTTTTTCCTTTCATCCAACTTGTTTGATCAACTAAAGTAATTTCTTCATTTTCAGATGCATCGATGAAGCTGTAAATTTACACGGAGTCAATTGTTTGAAAGTTGACATTGATAGATGAAAATTAGTGTTTTGTTAACGCTTTATTAACAAATGCAGCTCATGTAAGATTTTTGTATCAACTATAATATCACACTTTCATAGCTTTCCATGTGCTCGTCTTGTACAGATTCGTTGGAGAAATTCGAATATGTATGACCATTATTTCAAGTATCTTAGTTATTCTTCGACAAGATATAATATTATATTTTTGTATTTCATAACTGGAGCCATTTTATTAGTTAAAGTTGCATGTTAATATGTTTCATTCGGTTTATTATGTCCTTATGGTTCCGTATACGCATTAAGTTACTTTGACAAGATTTTAGAACTTGGTTCTTAGAAATCATTTCTGAAAATCTTAGAAAATGCCTCGAAAATCTGCTGTTAGTGTTGAAGATCTTTTCCAAACTTTGCATGATGAAGTCATATATGATGAATACGGCAAAATACTCTCCAAATTAGGCGATATTTGGAAAAAAGCCAGCTCAGCTGTCCACAACGCAATACGTGCATCTACAATCTATTTTAATGCTTTACAAAATTGAAAAGATCTAAAGTATAAAATAGATGAATAGCAATCGTGGAATAATAATAATCCAAAAAATTACGCAGCAGAAAAAAAAAATTTACAAGTTATTTCAAAATATTAGAATTTAACATTAGCTTCGTGGGTCAGGAAATAGACAACATTAGACCACAGCATATTGAAAAGAATAAAAAAAAATTGCCAAAAGGCTGGACCCATGATGTGGCTGAGAAAATTTGGATGTTTCAAAGTATTCCTTGTGGATTTTAATTAAAAAAAGGATACGTTTCCAAAATTAATGGAGTTATTCGTTTCTCTGGTAGTTGTCAGGAATGTGGAAACACAGTGTCAGAAGCCAGTATTTTAACTCTGAATGATTATGTTTTTAATATCTCTACGCATGATTGCAGAAAAATTTAACATTTCAAAAAAAGGCATCTTTCAGGCATTCTTAGAATAGACACTCAAAAAGAACTTGTACATATCAAGGCTCTAAGTTATAGAAGAGGAGAAGCGCAGGAACATGTTACTTATGGTAAAGTTGAAGGTCCACTTGTACATACAACTCCTGTTTTACGAAAAACTCGACAAGAAGCAGTTTTGGAAAAGCATAATGTTCCACAAGTTACAAATGTTATCCAAGCCATAGTGGACATAAAAATGCAAGACAAGTGAAATAAAATTATTCATCAAATTGGTGATTTTCCATTTTCAGTCATTTTCTGGACACCTGAACAGCTAGATTTATGGAATGGTGTGAGAAATATAAAGAATATATCTGTTTCTATTGATGCAGCTGGACTTTTTATAAAGAGAATTTTTGCAGATGGTGAAAGTACGTCTCATATCTTTTTATACGTCATGAGCAAATCACTTGGGAAAAAAATATATCCTGTTTTCCAATTCGTATCAGAATATCACTCAGCTATATTTTTAAAAGATGCTTTTACGTTTCGGATAGAATCTGGTGCATTAAAACCTAAAGAAGTTGTGACTGATGGATCCAAGGCCTTACAGAATGCCATTTGTATGGCATTCAACGATTGCTCTTTAAAGCAGTATTTACATGATTGTTTGAATGTAATTACAAGTAAAAGTAAATTAAATGTATCATGCTTTTTGAGATTGGACATTGCACATCTCATAAAGTCAGTTACTCGTTGGAAATGTTTTCAAAAATCCAATAATGATAATTGCAAAGACTTTTATGCACGTCTAGTTGGATTTCTCAGTAAATGTAGTGTATATGAGAACTTTAAAAAAATATTCAAATCTATCATGATTGTTTGCCAAAGCCCTGGAATTCTCCAACAACCTGTAGTTCAAGAAAATTTGAACGACCTTTTAAGATTAATAAAAGATCAATCGTGTTCATACTGTGAACCAAATTGTTCTTGTGACTTTTGTAATGAGGAAAGGCCTGTTAATGTTGACTTTAAGGAAATTAAAAGTAACCTAGCAGATAATCCATTTCTCAAAGAATTTAAAACCATAAAAAATGAAGCTAAAAGTTTTGCTTGTAATACTGGAGAGAACAAATTTTTCTGTCCCGAATTTGCACAAAACTTTACTATTCTTTCTGCAGATTTAGTATTTTGGACAAACATAATGACTAGATATTTTGATTCTGAAAACACTATTGCCTCTTCAGGACGTTCAGAATCTTTGTTCTGTGATTTACGACACAACGAATATTAGTAGACCAGTGTCCGGTCACTTATTTTTATCTATGTACACTGAATTTTTGGATGGATCACTGAGATTAGCTAAAGCTTTTTTGGAAAATAAAAACCACATAATCCCAGTAGCGGAAATGAATGATCTTAAAAGTATGTATATTGATAGTCCTAAAAAAAATATTTGTAAGATGCGAGGTAAATTTTTAGAGCCTCAAAGTGATATACTTATCAAATACAATAGACCAAAATTCAAAGTACCTGTTGATTTATTAAAAAATGGAATATTACAAAATGCCATCANAACAACCCTGTATTAATTAACTATTCTTAAATTGTTTGACTATGAAGATTTTTAATTATGTCAGATCCATAGCTGATCGTCTTGCAATATGCCATGTCAGATAAATTAGAGTGATGCAATGTAATATAGTAAACAATGTATTTATAGAACGTATAAGCAACTCTGCGAAGAAAAGAGAGGCAGATATGAACGTAGCTAAACCCAGTCATAATTACAACCGTGATGTAGACAAAGATGTAGCAGTTAATGGTAAATACGCAAGTACTGTAATCGAATCGTATAACTCCTTTTAAAATTGTGCATTGGTATAAAACACTAATATTAGACTCGGAACATATGTTTCAATTCTTTAGTGGACTTTATTTTATAGATATTAATATTGAAAAGATTTAACTATTTTGTGTAGAGTAATTTCATTCAGTATTTCTATACATTATTACTTATTATTCCAGCGCTTTAACAATAATGTACGAAATTTTCAATACATTTCAATTAATTATTAGACAACACAGTAAGAACTAAAAACAGAAGAAAACGAAGGAGACCAAAAAATCACAAATAAAATACTGAGGAGCCAGCAACTCAGCGGAAAAAAAAAGAAGACATGAAGGGGAAAGAAAAAAGGTAATTGCATGGGTTAAGTATTAGTTTCAGCGTTCTTACCATAAAGTTTTTATACTATCTATATTATTTCAGTTTACTGCGAAGTCTTTAATAACATAAATGTGTGTGAAGATATAGTCATTTGGTAATATTTGTTCTTTTCAAAGTTAATTTCGTGAAAAAAAAGTAAATAATGTAATTATTTCGAAACAGTTAAACAGTGCAAATAAAAAAATTTATACTAGGAAAACGATGCCATTGACGGGTTGATGAAAAATTTAAGCATTACTTTAAGTAGTTCTCTTGCTTGTGTACAAATTTTTAATTCAGAGATAATCCGACGGAACAATGTTAACTGTATAAGACCATTACAAACAGTAACTAGAGAGTACGTGCTTACGCAACTAACATTGATAATAAACAATTCATGTCAGTAGTTCGTTCAGTGGCTTCGTTGTTTAGGCATGGAGTATGTGTATCTGTTGAAAAAAAAAAAAGCTACTTATTAGTCCAAGAATTAAGTGCCTTAGTACCATTACAAAATAAATAAGTAAAAGCTAACTTGAAACATCTGAAAAAGTTAAAAAAAAAAGCTGGCTTATGGTTATTGTTATTTCAGTATTTTTAGCAGATAATTATTTTTGATTATTCAATATCTCAGAAATCTGAGTCATCTAAATGTATTGATAACTATTTTAATAAGATTCTCACAAAAGTTTATAAATGTATATGCAAACCACAAACTGTTTTATCTTAATGTTATTTTTACCAGTTTAGGTTTTTGTTTAGATTCTTTTACACCTTATTACCATTTTGAGTAAGAATAACAAAGCCAATGATTTAAAAACTTGTTTTGATAAAAACTTACGTCGTATGACAATAAATAAATTTTACGCATGACTTGTAACCGTACATTTCTAATGTACGGCCTGAAGCTTGCCACTACTAAAAAACATGCGATAAAATAAGAATAAAAGTAGCACTAATCAGTGCCTGAGAGCATCAAATGCAATCGACGTACAATGATACTTATATTGTTATTTAATATCTGTGTAACGTTTACTTTTAATATGCACAGTACAGTCAGACGACTTACATACCTCGTTAAAAAATTATGTTAATGTAGAAGGAAATCAAACAATTTTTTCTTATTTTGTTCCCCATAATGTAAGATTTGTTATGCAAGAAATATTTGTGTATCGAAAAAACGTGCTAGTAAATAAAATCAAAATACACTTCTTAGGCAATTAGTCCGTCTATACAAGTATATGTATGTTTGTGTCATTTATGTATCAGGATACCCTCAATCGACTACTATCTAGCAATACTTTTTTTTTTCCAAAATCTTTATCACCTTTTGCTGTATTTTTTTTTGGTATTTCAATAACATTATATTTTTTGTAATCGATTACTTATAACAAGTTTATTTTTTCGTTGCATATGTTTTTCTTATTGGGGAATAGTTTGGATTAAAAAATATAATAGGTCAGAAAATTTCCTATAAAATAACACATTAGAAACCCAGTATAAGCGTGTCCACGCGTAGATGTACTTAATTAGCCCAATCTCAGGATTCTGTCAGTCGTTTTTATCGAGTATGGAAATATTTTTAAGAAATTTTATTAAATAAAAGGAAAAAATTTGTGTTTCGCTGTCTAATATTTTTTCTCGATAACTTGATTTTTTGTATGGAAAAAATTAGATACAGAATAAGCTATTTTGTCGTGAGGTTCTTTGAGTATAAATAGTTAACGTTTAGGCCATCACCTATGTAAGCTTTCTTAATTCAGAAATAGTTCTAAATTATTTAAAGTTATAATATAGTGTAGTATAATTTAATGAGTAATTATAATATAGTATAATTTAATGAGTAATATTGCTAAAAAGTTGGGACATTTTTGTGGAAAAACATGGATTACGCTTTTTTAACATATATTTTATCGTACATTTTTTTTGAGCTTGAGTTAGTACATAGTTGCACAAAAAAACAAAAATATATTTTTATCAACCAGCGAAGTGACATAAGTATAATCTTAAACGTACAAAAAAGTGACCCAGGTCAAAAGCTGCATGTGGTTACAGTTAAAGTGAGGAATAAAAATACCGAAACTTTAAAAATAGATAAAAGAATTTTTTTTTAATTTTCAAAACTTTATTTTATTATTTAAAATTTAAAGCAGAATTGTCAGTAAATTGCTTGTTTAACGTATTTGTCTCATTCTATAGGGTACGTGGAACACAAAAATTGTTTTTAAAGTATGCCTTCTCTGGAATCCTTTATACATGTAAGTACCTACAAATAAATTATGTGCATCAATACTTGCGTAGTCCCATTCAGCGTAGTGCAAAACCGTGCGTTAAAGTTTTTCAACTAGTTATGATATAAATTTAGTAATATCAAGCTTTGTGCAGCTCCATTCCCCAAAAATTCAAATTACTACAAAGATTTATTTATTACATGCAAAAATGACAGTGTATACTTATCCATCATTTTTATTTTGCTTTTCCAGACATGACGTACATTTGTTGTAGGTCTAACTAATAAAGTAAATTAAGCAAATATCTAAGTCACTTAATATTCTATATAGTTACAAGTTTCCTAACCTATTATTGATAATTTTTTGTTAGCAAATAGGCGTCATCTCTGTAAAATTTTGCGTCCACAAGGTCTCATAATTTAATACTTAACGTATAAGCAACAATAAAAGAAGCATTGCCATTCTACTAAATCATTTGATTTTTGATTAAAAGATTATTCTCGTAGTACGTAATTTGTCATATCGATATTAATGCAATGGTAAGAAAACTGAAACTATGTTGTAATTACAAGTTAGTATATTTTATGATTCTTTTTTTTTAAATATTCTGATTGATGCAACCTTAGTTTATCCTGTCAATAGCTTGAGTAACGATCAGCTGTAAATTTTCTATTTATTGTTATTTTTTGTTACCTTTTGTTATTTTTACCAAAACCAGCAAAAAATCGTGGAAATACGTACAGTTGAACGTTTTCCTAAGAAAAATGTATTTAGCTAAATTTCCAATCAATAATAATAGAAATAATTTTTTTATCCTTAATCTTAAATACATATTTTTTTAATGCTACAACTAAGTTATTACTTGTACGAGTATGGTTACGTAAGGTATGTGAGAGAATATAATGCAGTCCAATATATATGTAAGGCATTTAAGATTTCCATTAAATAATTGTCATTTTGTAAAAGATGGAATGACATATCTAAGGCAATTCAATTAGTTTTAGTATTAGCTATCACTATTCATGTAACAGTAGTGAAGAGACAATGATTTGTCAATGGTCATATACAACAAAAAATTTTTTTAACCAATTTTTTGTTTGTAATATTTTATACTATGTTTTTGTTTTTCTTGGATAGGGGGAGATGGGTTTCCATAATTTTCATAATAATATTTTTAATGATATACACAGAAAAAATAACTTTATTGTAGCCCAAAATTTTCCGTGATTGTGAGAGACGGTTAGTAAAGCTAAAATATGTATATACTAAGATACATTTCTAGGAAGTCTTACCTCGACCGGCACCCTTTACTGTTAGCGTAACAACGAAACCCATGATTTTTACATTTTATTAGCCATGTCTTTTAATGTATAAACATTATATTAGTATACATCATGAAATACATAAAATTATATATCTGAACCATAATCGATTGCGTTACAGTACCCGTGAGCGCTTCTTGTCGCTCACGTCACTATTAACGCCAATGTTAAGGGGAAAATAGAGCTTTATTGGGATTCTTGTAATACTAATAAGGATGACTGTCAGTACCCACGTGCGTTTCATACGGTACGTGTCGTTATCGTAACTTAATGCCAACGTTGTAGGAAAATAGAGCACGATAAGTTTCTTTGTGTCTTTTGTAGTTGTCAGGATAAAGATAAATTTTTTTATCATCTAATGAAAATGATTTTAACTTGTATATTAAAGAATAATCGATTAAAATGATGTTGTATGTGTTCTTTGTTTAAGGAAATGAAGTATGCATGCTTTAACACATGTAATTTTAATTATACCCGTACTACGATAATTTTGAAAAATGAGTAAGTAGCGAGCTGATAAGTCTGTATAATATTTGATGATACATTTATATAAGCTTAAAGCCCTAGGCACTTCCCATAAGACTGATTTATAACATTCAATTTTTGACAATGTTATAGGTAGAATAAATAAATTTATTATACGTGTGTGTGTGCGTGAGTTTATATGTATTTTGAATATTGTTACTTAACGTGGTTGAGAAACCGTACCGTTATCCTAGAAACATTTTTTCGTACCCATTTAAAACGTTTTTACAACCCCACAATACTGCATTTTTTCAGTACAGCCTTTTTTGCATGATTATTTGTATATTATTTTATTTACTCTGGCCAAGTAGATATCATAAAAGAAGTGTGAATTTATAATTTTGAATTTTTGTCTAGTTTCTGTAATACACGACAAATAGTATTGCAATTAATCTTTTCGTATCTCCGTATTGTCTTAATTCTAATTTTTTTTTTTTATTTCGTAAATTAGAATTCCGTTAATATTCTACAGTGTTGTGGAAGTTTCGAGAACATTCTTTCCATGATGCGTTTTTATAAGACACGACAAATCGATAATGTTATTACAGATTTTTGTTTTTGTTCTGTTATAAAAAATGTTAATTTTTTATATCACACATAACCTTTTGATGATGTAAGTCCACATTTTATTGACACAGATAAAAAGTATATATATACAGTGTCACTTACTTTCCGTACCCTTTTTTTGTACTGGAAAATACTATTCCTAATGTTGGATAGTATTAACTACTTTTGAAGTTAACTATGAGTAAGTTAAACTTTAAATGCTGATGAATTTCACTACAGTACCCGCAAGCGTTCCACATTGCTCTCATCGTTTTTAACGCCAACGTTAAGGGGAAAGTGAGATTTTGTAAATATTATCGTAATATCTATGAAATACGCTATCAGTACCCACGTGCGTTTCCTACAGCACGTGTCGTTATCACAGTATAACGCTGAAGGGAAATACAGTATCATAGTAGTATTTTCAATATAAAAAATGACAGACGTATAAAATGTAAGTATAATATTATTCCTGTAAAGTAGTAAATAATCTTGGTTTCTCACTGTTAACGGAGTGAACGTAACAATATATCTCGTTGTAAAAAAAGATTTTGATTTGTAGCTCAATCGATAAATACATAAAATAACACTTTCATACGATTAAATACATAGTTAGCACTATATGCGTGAAAAGGAATAGGGTATACTATGAGACATTTTGATGTTGAATGAATAACAAAAAGAATGAGTGAACAAAATGTAGCGTGGAAAGATTTTTTGATATTTTAGATAACAAGTTATTCGTACTTTTATCAATCAAAATATAAAGATAATCTTAGTAAGCTAAGTAATAACTACTTGGACTAGTTAAACGTACTAATGAAGGTAAAGGAGTACCAACATGGGAAATTCATTACTGTTTTCTACTACATTGTGAACCTCATTAGAATTAATTGAAGTACGTACTTCATCGCAACATTTTTTGTGACGTCACAATACCAAAGATGAAATAAAAAACCATTATAACGGAATATTTAAAAGGTTGCTATGAAGCCTAAGAAACTTGGATGCTATGATCTTGTAGTCTCTTTTGCATCGTCTAAAAGCTCATTATTAAGTACTTTCAAGATCTTTTCTTTAGCCCAATAACAACCATGTACTGTCACATTTATATTGCTTATACTGATTATCACGAAAGTAAAGATCAAACACTCATAATCCGCCAACCACATGCTGTTTTCCACGTATTTGATTTAATTTTCATTTCCACAACTTTTTGTAATCTGACAACTCAATACTGAAAATTCTATCTTATTTTAATATGTTATTCATTTATCATTGATACAGCCATCTGTAACACAGCGACCCAGGGCTGGTTCTTACATCTTCATCATATTTATCTTTAGGTTTTCATAACACAAGCATATTTCATCGTACACCACCACACTGTCTTTTGCTTGCTATACTAATTGTTAACAGTTGTTATATATAATAAAAGCTTCTGAAATTTGATGATAATGTTCAATCTCTTAATTCTTGTTTAAATTGATTATTGACTTATAACCCACAAAAGTGCTGTTGATTCAGTGACCCTGTACTTTTTGTTTTATCTTGTTTATATTTATCATGCATTTTCTATAAACCCAATTGCCTTGAGCCTAACTACTTCGTCTATATCCTTTCTCAGACAGAAAAAAAATTATTAATCATACGTTGCAATAAAAAGACCTTTAACGCTATTATTTTGTACGGTCCCTTGTGGAATGAAAAAAAACATTTCTGATAAAAAAAGCTGTTTTGGAGTGTAACAAAAACAACAAATAATTTAGTCAACATGCTCCCACTTTCACTGATTCTTTGTTATTTTAGTACATTATATAAAATAAGTAATAATTTATAGCTTCCTTTACCTAATGACCCCCTATTACTCGCTGCTTGTTTAAAACAAAAATTAATTAGTTATTCTCCATATCAATAGTGCCTGTTACATTAAAACATCTCGTACCTTCAGTATTTTTTTTATTTATTACTTAACTATCATCAACACAGGTGACTGCAATATAATGATATGATCTAGTACTGTTTCTAGTAATCTTGTTTGTGTTTATTATTAACGCGTTATAAATACAAGTGCCTTTATCATGATGACCCTACACAACCTATCATTCAAAAGAAAGATTAAAATATTATAACAAGATTTCGTCGAATCTTGTAAGCATGTATTGTCTCTTGCATTTGGTAAACATTTGTTAATAAGTTACTATTAATACTATCAGCTTAAACCCTACGACTACGTACTGTTTTTAAAATTTTTTTTACATTTGCAAATTTATTTCTAAATATGAGTGAAAACATACACTATTAATTCAGCTGATTTGTTCCCATCATAGTATCGATACTGAATATTGCATTTTGTACAAATATATGATTCATCAATTAGTATCTCAAGCGCTTTTCACCCAGCGATCCAGTACTGGTTTTTATATCTTGTTTATATTTATTTTATACATTTTTAAAAACACTATTGCCTTTAGCCCAATGACCCTGGAAGTATCCCTTATAGCACAGAAAAAGAATCATTCTTAATAATATCTTCTTGTAAACAAGAAGCCCTTAACACTATTTGCGTGAAAAAATTTATTGAAATGGCAAGATACCACAAAAAGACATAAAAGCTTTAGCAAGTGACAGTTC